GGGGGGGGGGGTAGGGGTGGAGAAGTGGCTATAGCCCCTAGCTGGGAGCCCCACCCTTTATTCTCCCCTCAACCCTAGCCTCTGACTTGGCTTCTCTAAGCCCTCAGAGCTAAGCTGGCTCTTCCTGGGGCCGGGAATGTGGGCTTCAGCCATTCCCACCCTGGGTAGGGAAGAGATGGAGTCATCAGGAAGGATTTATGAGCAGGGAGAAAGGTTGAGCTACTGTCCCAGAAGAGCCTCTTGACCCCTCTGGGTGGGGCAGAGGGTGGGTTAGGACTGGCAGTAGAAGGGATGCTTCTGTGTGGGGCAGGCAAGAGAAACTTGAAGCCCTCAGCTGGTTTTACTCCCCCGGTAACAGATGTGGCAACCGTGCCCAGAGAGGTGCTGGCTCTGCAGGCTGGTCACAGCATAGTAAGGGACAGGACCCAGAGCGTGTGCTCCAATTGCCCTGAGATTCCAGGAGCCTCTGAGGAGGGCAGAGGAAGATGCATGGAGTGAGTGAGAGGTGTTTTGCATGGGTTCTGTATGTAGTTCTGACTTGAAGTGCCTGGGCCTTGCTGGACAGGTATGTGATGTGATGAGTTTGGGGAAAAAGAGTGGCTGTTGGAAGCTGTTAGGGATGGAGATGGATGCCTTCCTTAAATTCCATGCCCCTGGGGCACCCTGGTTCCTTGGAGACCCTACCCTCCTGCCAGAAAAACCTGGACATCTTTTTGTGGCCAGAGATGCTGTTTCCAATAACATGGAGGGCCCTGGGCCCGTCACCTCATCCTGGTGAGCAATAAATCACTGACCCAATGAGCTATGATGGCTGGAACAACTGGTGTAAGGTGTCTGATTTCCTGCTGTGGCCCCTTAACACCCCCACAATGCCCTTTCATGCCTGGTGAAAGGGAACCCTAGGGCTCAGGGAAGGAGACCATGAGTGTCTTTCATACACTATGGTACCCCTGCCTCAGTGAATTTGCCTCCCGGGGGAGGACACTTAGGCTGCAACCACACCTGTGGAATCATTCCCAGTGACAGTAGCCAGTAGGCTTTGGGATCAATTAGGCCTGGCTTCCAATTTCAGCATGGCCCCTCCAGATATGTGGCCTTGGATTTGTCACTTTGTGTCCTTGGGGATAGAATAAAGATGACAGTAACCAACTGCCTCCTCCCCCAACGTGCTCAGCACAGTGCCTGCCACGTGGCCAGATCCCAGGACTTAGGAGGTATCAGCCCTCATGTGTCCTTACCCAAGCCCAGCCATTCTCCTTGCCTCATTGTTCTCTACCTGTGAAATGGGGTAGAGGTGGGGTCCCACTAGAGGAAGTATACATTTGGCGTCTCGTGGGGGAAGGGAGAGAATGGGAGAGGTGAGGTGTCAGTTCCTCATTGGTCTGGGTCAGGCGTTCAGGGGAGGTCCCCACTGCCTGCGAGAGCACTCGTGTTACACCTGCGTCCCAACCACAGCCCATGCTCACTGAGCCGGCTCCACAAACCATGAGGCTGTCACTGCCACTGCTACCGCTGCTACTGGGGGCCTGGGCTATCCCAGGGGGCATCGGGGACAGGGCTTCTCTCACAGCCACTGCTCCACAGCTGGACGATGAGGAGAAGTATTCAGCTCATATGCCTGCTCACTTTCGCTGTGATGCCTGCATGGCAGTGGCCTACCAGGTGAGCCCCTTCCCCCAGCAATTCCCCTGCCCAGACCTCCTCAAGCCAGAACCCTCCATCTACCTCAGATTCTACCACTGACCCATGATCAATCCTCAAACCCCCACTCCCAGCCATCCAGCTAGACTCAGCCTTCCATGATATCGCCACCTTCACCTCACCTGAACCTCCATGCCTCAGTTTACTCATCTCTCTGTCCAACAGAGACTAGATAATCTGGAACACCCCACAGTATCTTGAGACCCCAGTGAGTCACCAGCTTGTCATCTCAGACTCCTCCATTTCCAGGCCCATCCTCAGGCCTGGACTCCTTCCTAAAATATGACCAAGGATCATTGGTGTGTGTGTGCATGTGTGCTGAGTGCATGAATATATGAGTATGTGTGTGTCTGAGTTCACACACAACCCTGTTGAGCATGTCTGAGTACCTCTGGGGGTAAAGGGGGGAGATCCATGAGTACACGTGTCATTGAAGACTGGGCTGTGGTTTTTTTTTTCTTTCGTTGTTTTGGTGGTTTAAAATTGCATGCTCTGATGGGCAGGTGTGCCCTGGGGGAGGGACCCCAGTGCCCAGGCCTAACCTTCCACCTCCGTGTTCCCCACCCACCCCATCCCAGGAAAGTGGATCCTGCCTCAGTGGGCTGGGTCCCAGTTCTTGGGACCTGGGGGAGGACCCCGAGGCCTGCCTCACAGGTGCTTCCTGTTCAAAAGGCTCCCTTGCCACCTCATTCTTCCCCAAAGGCCCAGGCTCCTGTCCTCTCCCCACACTGAACAGTCCCTAAGCCCCTCCTTGTTCCAGATGTGGCAACATCTGGCAAAAGCAGAGGACAAGCTTCACACCCCTGGGGGGCGTCAGGAGCTGAGTGAGTCTGTGTACACAGACGTCCTGGAACGGAGCTGCTCCCAGACCTGGCAGGAGTGAGTTGAAAATCCTGTCTCTACCTTCCTCCTCCTGGGGCAGGGCTTGGTGGGTGGAGGTCCTCACTCTCCCACTCACACCACACACGTCCTCCACTAGGGCTCTGGTCCAAGGTAGGGGGCTGGTTGGGACCAAGTCTGAGCTCCAGAGCTGGGAGCAAATAGAAGGGTAGGTGGCCAAGGGACAAGGTCATGGGCCAGGAGCTCCCCCTCTCTGGTCCTCAGTTTTCTATCAGGGAGGATCAGAATCTGGGTATTGAACTCAGAAAAGGCCCAGCTTCAGGTGGAAACAGGTCCCCACTGGCAAGGCTCTCACAAATGCTGTGTTGCTCTCCTCACCACTGCCTCCAGCTATGGGGTCCGAGAAGTGAACCAGGTGAAACGTCTTACAGGCCCAGGACTTAGCAATGGGCCAGAGTCAAGCATCAGTGTGATGATCACGGGGGGCCCCTGGCCTACCAGGTAGGATGAGAGGGTGAGGGTGGGATGGAACCTTTGGAACTTTAGTCTGCTCCCTGTGGGCCGGCAGAGTCTGAGGCTCCTGTTGTGCTCCTCTAGGCTCTCCATGACATGTATGCACTACTTGGGGGAATTTGGAGAAGACCAGATCTATGAAGCCCACCAACAAGGCCAAGGGGCTCTGAAGGCATTGCTGTGTGGAGGCCCCCGTGGAGTCTGCTCAGAAGAGGCACCAGTCACAAAAGCAGAGCTCTAGTCCAATTCCTGCTTCCCCTTCATGGTCAGCCCCTGAAGACAGCAGGGTGGGCGTGGAGCTTCTGGATCTGCCGCAATCCTTTCTGTAGGCTACTTGAGGACAGGGAGGCCTTGCTCTTCTGGGCTGCCACTCTCCCTCCTCTTCCAGTTTTGGGGCTCTGGGGCCTGGGCAGGGGGCCAAGGCCTTCCACTCTGGACTCAAATAAAACCCAATGACCTCAATTCCTTCTCTCTGCGAAACGTGCTTTCGGGGCTGGGAGAACAGACATTGGTGTTTCTGCTAATATTGCTCCTAGAGAGGGCCAAATACAGGTCCCTGCAAATTTCCCAGAGGTAACTGAGATCTGTCATGGTTGGAAATGTCAGTGAACAGTCAAAGATATGTGAACGGTGAAACTCCAGATCCATCATGAGAAAGAAGAAAAACCATGGGAAACTCCATAAGCAGGCCACCTTGTGGACACATGTACTGCAACCATTGGGTATTATTGGCTATCAGTGCCCCTCCCAGGACAGTAGTCTCACTGGGTTTACTCCCAGCGGCTGCTCACTTTCTAGATTCTGCCTCTGACCCCAGCTGGCGCGGTTGGGCCCTAGGTGCCTGCCTGGGACAGGGTGGGGCAGGGTTCCTGGAACCGGCTGGTTTCAGCATCTTGGCTCTAAGTCCTGCTCTCCCCAGAAATGCTTCTGTCCCGGGGCTCTTCTCTTAGCAAACAGAGAAAAGGGCCCCACCTGGGGCCTACCTGGGTCTGGGAACCTGGGGTCAGGTGATGTTGCAACTCGCAGTTTCCTTTGTGAGTGTCTCTCTGATCCTCTAAAGCCCTGGGAAGTGGACAGAACAGGTGCTCTAAACCCCAGATGACAGATGCAGAAACTAAGGCTTAGACAACAAAAAGAGGCTCAGGACAAGTCCCAGGTAGGTCTATTCTCTCCTCTCCCTTAGGGAGGGGATTCAGATTTAGGGGGTGGGGAAAGGTCATTGCTGAAAGAATAAGGGTACCCCAAGCATGCACTGACCTCTCCAGCTTTCCTGAGCTACACTGCAGCCCAGCCTGTTCCTGATCTACCTGAGTCACCCTCCTGTGTGGTCCTCCCTGAAAAAGAGAACCCTTAGGCACCAGGAAGGGAGCCAGGGCCCAAGGAACTGCTGAGCCACACCGGTGTGGAGTTGGGAGCCTGTGACGTGACCCTGTGTTTATGTAGAGTCTGTGTCTGAGTCTGCCTATTATGAGTCCTTTGTGTGACTATATCTGAGATCCTGTGCAACTTCAGGGCTTTGTCTTTGTGTGGCTGAATTGAATGTCTAGGAGACTAGAAGAGGTAGGGCTGTGTTTCCACAGTCCCCTGGGGAGTACTGGGGAGGGGAGGGTGGGAAGGAAAGTGCTGGGGAGCAGCTCTGAAGCTTTGAACTGGTCAGACAACTTTGGGAACCAGGGAGCAGAAGCCAAGAAGGGAGGGGAGAGAATAGGCCAACAGAGGAACAGGCTGGAGGCTGGACAGACTGACGGATTCAAGGCTGTGGCATGAAGCTACTTCCCAGCTGGAGAGCCGTGCTGCCCATGGGTCCTCGGACCCGGACCTGGCCATGGGCACAGAAACCCAGAAGTAGGTGGCCCCTAAGGGGCTGGGGCTGGGGTTGGGGCAGCACTGTGGGGTGCAGAACCTTAGGCCTAGACCCCAACAGGTGAGGAGCCTCAGGCCCTTGGACCCTCCCAGCCCCTCTCAGCCAGCTCCAGGCCCCATGGCCAGGCTGGGCTGGACCTGGCAAGAGAGAAAGACAGGCTGGGCCTGCGGCTGGCATCAGGGACTGCGTGACATGCAGTCACACAGGGCCTGGTGCTTAGAAAGGCCCCAGATTGTGTTTAATGTTCTTCTGTTACTGTCTTAAAATTTGTGATACCTTTGGAACAGGGACCCTGCATTTTCATTTTGGACTGGTTCCTGGCTGGGAGGGGAAGGGAATCCCTGTCCTGACACAGGGGACAGGCAAGGCTGGGCCAACCTTGGAGCCTTCTCCAGAGGCTCATCTGTTGTGTGCCTCATGGACCCTGAGGGGTGAGAGGCAGTGGTGGGGAGGGTAGTGCCTTATTACATTTAATGTATGATTTACAGCATTAATGTGGGAATTCAGGCCAAACTGAATTCTAGGAATGGTTTTCTAAAATCTTGCTACCTGTGTGGCCTTGGTCAGATCACATCTCCTAATCTGTTTCCTCAGCTGTTGAAGAGGTTAATACTGCCCAGTGCCTGGGGTTAAACACAACAATGCATAGATGTTGCCTGGAACACAGTCATTCCTCAAAAATGAGAGTGGTTATAATGGTGATAATGATTAACTTATTAATATTTAGATGGTGACATAATAAGTGCCTGTTTCTACTCCTTTTCCTGTCACCTCAAACAGAGCTTGGTAAGCTTCCAAGACTGTCCATTCCTCACCCTCCACTCCGGCCCTCTTTTGGAAAACAAGAAGACATCCCATGTCCCAGCTCAGGTGCAGGCAGGAGATGAATGTGGCAGAGACTTGGGCGCCTTTACCACTCCACTATGACCAGAGTTAATACATTACCTCCACCTAGGTCCTGCTTTCGCAATCTCGATAGGAGATTGGGGTCTGGTTACAGATTTACTTCGAACAATGTCTGATGCATGGAGTAAAGTCCTTCTTGGCCTTTCTATAGCCATCCCCTCTTCTCTTCAGGAACTGCTCACACCTGTGTCCCAAAGATGAGGGCCCAGGAGGAACCTGAGNAGCTCCAGGCCCCATGGCCAGGCTGGGCTGGACCTGGCAAGAGAGAAAGACAGGCTGGGCCTGCGGCTGGCATCAGGGACTGCGTGACATGCAGTCACACAGGGCCTGGTGCTTAGAAAGGCCCCAGATTGTGTTTAATGTTCTTCTGTTACTGTCTTAAAATTTGTGATACCTTTGGAACAGGGACCCTGCATTTTCATTTTGGACTGGTTCCTGGCTGGGAGGGGAAGGGAATCCCTGTCCTGACACAGGGGACAGGCAAGGCTGGGCCAACCTTGGAGCCTTCTCCAGAGGCTCATCTGTTGTGTGCCTCATGGACCCTGAGGGGTGAGAGGCAGTGGTGGGGAGGGTAGTGCCTTATTACATTTAATGTATGATTTACAGCATTAATGTGGGAATTCAGGCCAAACTGAATTCTAGGAATGGTTTTCTAAAATCTTGCTACCTGTGTGGCCTTGGTCAGATCACATCTCCTAATCTGTTTCCTCAGCTGTTGAAGAGGTTAATACTGCCCAGTGCCTGGGGTTAAACACAACAATGCATAGATGTTGCCTGGAACACAGTCATTCCTCAAAAATGAGAGTGGTTATAATGGTGATAATGATTAACTTATTAATATTTAGATGGTGACATAATAAGTGCCTGTTTCTACTCCTTTTCCTGTCACCTCAAACAGAGCTTGGTAAGCTTCCAAGACTGTCCATTCCTCACCCTCCACTCCGGCCCTCTTTTGGAAAACAAGAAGACATCCCATGTCCCAGCTCAGGTGCAGGCAGGAGATGAATGTGGCAGAGACTTGGGCGCCTTTACCACTCCACTATGACCAGAGTTAATACATTACCTCCACCTAGGTCCTGCTTTCGCAATCTCGATAGGAGATTGGGGTCTGGTTACAGATTTACTTCGAACAATGTCTGATGCATGGAGTAAAGTCCTTCTTGGCCTTTCTATAGCCATCCCCTCTTCTCTTCAGGAACTGCTCACACCTGTGTCCCAAAGATGAGGGCCCAGGAGGAACCTGAGGGACAGACGCAGGTGCTGGGGCTGGATGGGGGCAGGGTGGGGTGGGGGTTGGAGGGACTGCACAGGCCTTTTCCCTGGGAGGGCAGAGACAAAGGTTCTGATAACTTGATCAGAAGTGACTGTCCTAGGCTGAACATGGCAATTGGGGGTGGGGGTGGGGTGGTAGTCGGGGCGAAAGAAACTTCAGCTTGGGGACTGGCTGACTCCAGCTTGAGAGTCAGTAGGCTCACTACCTACCCCCCCACAACAGTGACACCCCAAGCACCTCCAAAGGGCAGGGGTTGGACCAGATTGGGCCCTAAAGAGCCTGTCCATAGTCTCCAGCCCTCTAGGCCTTTCCTGGTGTCTGTCCAGGCCTTCTGACTTAGGGGCCCATTCCCTTGGCTTGAATGCCTGGGTCCTGAGGGCTCCAGGAGCCAGCACAGTGGACTCACCATGCACAGAGCAATGTGAGGTGGGAGCCAGGTAGAGTCAGGCCAAGGGACAGATGGGTGGATGAACAGTGAGGGAGGTAAGGCCCCATTCTGAGGAGCTGACAGGCCACTCAGGCACCTGATTGATTCTGGGGCAGAATCGCCTTTTCCAGTGTCCACCTCTCCACCCTGAGTTACTGTTCTCTGTTGCCCCCAGCATGAGGACCTGGGCTTAGCCGCGACCTCCCCAAAGGACCCCCCCGTGTCCCTGCCCACAGAGTCCAATTTCGACATGCTCTACAAGATTGAGGATGTGCCGCCCTGGTACCTGTGCATCCTGCTGGGCTTCCAGGTGGGCTTTCCCCCAAGGGCCTTCCCACTGCGTGCTCTCCAGAATCCCAGCTCCCTCCCTAGCCGCCAAGGTTATCTTGGGTAACAGGAAGAGAAACCTAAGGCCAGAAATGGTGACTGTCACCAAGCAGGGGTGGGGAGAAGTCTTCTGGGGCCCGAGAGAGGATTAACTCTCTGGGAGCAAATGTCACATGCCAGGTGGAGTGTCAGTGACAGGGAAGAAGGCCCATTCCACAGAAGATGCAGGAATAATTTGAGGGCAGATTAGTAATCCCCAAAGAGGAGTGCAGTAGCCCTCTGAGAATTTCCTGTGGGAGTGTCAATCCTGGGTGGGTATGTTGCCTATGGTAGCATGGCTTCAGGCCCACTGAGGCAAGCATGAGAACTGCTAGGGGGCCCTATTTCCCTGTAAGCTCTGTGGATCTTATTCACTTCCCCCTACCCCCTAGCATTACCTGACATGCTTCAGTGGTACCATTGCTGTGCCCTTCCTCCTGGCTGAGGCGCTGTGTGTCGGCCGTGACCAGCACATGATCAGCCAGCTCATTGGCACCATCTTCACCTGCGTGGGCATCACCACCCTCATCCAAACCACACTGGGCATCCGGTGAGCTGCTCCACCCCACCCCCACCCCCACCCCCACACAGACACAGACACGCAGCAGAGGCAGCAGCAGCAGCAGGATGTCTCTCTCAGAGGACTCAAGGGGCAAAAAAAGCTGTTATCTGCCCCCACCTGCTACTACTTCTCCCAGGCCAGCCTTAGAGCCAGGCAGCTGGGGTCCTACCCTGGCACCTGGCACTCCTCAAGGACTAGGAGGAGTCTGTGGGTTTAAGGGAATGTCTTAGCTGGGAGAGGACTGGTCCTGGTGCCCACTCACCAAGCTGATTAAGCCCTACTCATTAAGCCATACTCGGGGTAAAGAGGACTACCAGCTTCCCTGATTCTAGAGCCTGTGCAGGCCTCTTAGATTGTTTGTCTTCCTGGGGGCCCCCGCCCCCTTGTGCACAACCCTAGCTCAGGTGGCTAAAGCATGGTTGTTAGTGTGGTGAGAGGAGAGGAAGGTTGTGAGTGGAGCTTGGATGCAAGAAATAAGCAGTCCACCTCTCTGCATGTGGCCCCTCACAGTGCAGGAACTGGTGTTGAGAAGCAAGGGGGGCAGGTTGTGGGTCAGGGGTTCTATTTGTTTTCTTCCCTTGAGCACCCAAAATGTTATAGAGTCCTGCCTGGGGCCTCGATGACTTCCCTCTGCTCTGCCCCTGCCCTTGCCCCTCTGTCTCTGTCCCTTTGTGTGATTCTTTCTGTCCCTCTCTTTCTCTGTGTGCCCCTTCTCCAGTCTCCCCTGTCTGTGTCCCTGCCCCCCACCTCACTGCTCCCTTGGTGCTATATACTTCTCCTTCCAGGCTGCCGCTGTTCCAGGCTAGTGCCTTTGCATTTCTCGTCCCAGCCAAAGCCATCCTGGCCCTGGAGAGATGGAAATGTCCTCCGGAAGGTGGGTACACCTCTGGGGTCTGTGTTGGAGAGTGGGGAGAACCAGAAGCCTGGAGGTCTGGGTGTCTATCCCAAGTCTGGACACCAGGATGCATTCATGGCAGCATCTTCTTTCCCTATGTCTCTGTTCCCCGTTCATATGCGTGTGTGTCCCTGTCTCTGCCCCCAGAGGAGATCTATGGTAACTGGAGTCTGCCCCTGAACACCTCTCATATCTGGCACCCACGGATAAGAGAGGTGGGTTCCCACGTGGAGTAGAAGAGACTTGGACCTGAGGAGGGGCTAGATGGGAGTAAGGGCCACGGCTGAATTGGGAGATGCAAAGTGGTAGTCTAGAGGCTTTTTTTTTTTTTTAATGTAGAGGTCATAGCTTCTACATAGTGACTTACAGCTGATCTTTGCTCTTCCAGGTCCAGGGTGCCATCATGGTGTCCAGCACAGTGGAAGTGGTGATCGGGCTGATAGGGCTGCCTGGGGCCCTGCTCAGCTACATTGGGCCTCTCACAGTCACCCCCACTGTCTCCCTTATCGGTCTCTCTGTCTTCCAAGCTGCTGGTGACCGAGCTGGCTCCCACTGGGGAATCTCAGCTTGGTGAGCGGGCACCAGGACCGATCCTCGCCCAGCCCCAGCCTCCTTAGCCCCTACATTTCCTCCCCCATTGCCCTGTCTCCTGCCCCCAGCCTGCCTACCAGTCATCTCTTCTTTGTGCCTCTGTCCCCAGCTCCATTGTCCTGATTATCCTCTTCTCCCAGTACCTGCGCAACCTCACCTTTCTGCTGCCTGTCTACCGCTGGGGCAAGGGCCTCACTCTCTTCCGCATCCAGATCTTCAAGATGTTTCCTGTAAGGAATTGAGAGGCAGCTGGGGCTGGGACTAGGGCAGGGGCTGGACTTGTATCCAGGGCCAAGGTGGGGGACAAGGGCCAAAGTAGCAGGGGAACTAGAGCCAGAGCATAGATGAGGTCCCAGCCAGGGACTGGAGCAGGTGTTGGGGCTGGGATCTAGGGCTGGGGCAAAGGCTGGGGCTGGGGCTAGGGGTAGGGCTGAGGTAGAGGCTGGTTAGCTTGGAACAAGACCTCCAAGGCTCTCAGTGTGCCCCTTCCCCCTCCCCACTTCAGATTGTGCTGGCCATCATGACCGTGTGGCTGCTCTGCTATGTCCTGACCCTGACAGATGTGCTGCCCACAGACCCTACAGCCTATGGCTTCCAGGCACGAACGGATGCCCGAGGGGACATCATGGCTATTGCACCTTGGATTCGAATCCCCTACCCCTGTGAGCAACCCCACCTGGTCCCCTCTGCCTCCAACTCAGACCATATATAAGGCCCCTGTTGATTCCAGTGCAGCTGATGATAAAGCTAGCATTAGCTGCCACATGTATTGTGTTCCAGGCAGAGTGCTGTTTAACTTAGACAAAGCCTCACTCCAGAGCTTTGTGACTCTGAGTGATCCCAAAAAGCTCCCATAACTGTACAGCTCCCACCCCAGCTTGAGATCTCTTTACCACCCCGCCCCCCAAAAAAAAACCTGCCTAGTTTACCTCCTAACCTACTCAGGGGCACTGCATCCATCTTCCTGTCTCCCCTCAACCCAGGCCAGTGGGGCCTGCCCACGGTGACTGCAGCTGCTGTCCTGGGAATGTTCAGTGCTACACTGGCAGGTATCGTTGAATCCATCGGAGATTACTATGCTTGTGCTCGCCTGGCTGGTGCACCACCCCCTCCAGTACATGCTATCAACAGGTATGCCCATCTGCCCTCCCCAATATCTGATCCCCTCTGATCCACTCAGGAAGCAAATGTACTAAGAGGGTTGAGTCCCATAAGGTGTGGACTTGAGCAAGTCGCTAATACTTTTCAGATGTCATTCTCCTTACTTATGAAATGGGATGGATGTTCTCATCTCTCACCCTGAGTGTTGTGAGTAGTGCAGGAGATAATGAAGTCCGAGGGAAACTAGTCATTGACAACCTTCCATATGCCTAGCCCTTGATGCATGTTCTTTTATGCAATCCACTAATGACTATGAGACAGGTACCCTTATCTCCATTCTACAGATGAGGAAATTGAAACCCAGAATTGCCAGGGCACTGGCGTAGGGCTCAGACCTGGGCTCTTGGTTCCCAGACCTCCTTTTGTCCTGGAGTGGGGAGTATAATACAAATAGTTGCAGCTTTCACAGAAGGCGAGCACCCGAGCCAGGGTAATGGGGCAGAGCCGGGACCAAATCCCCCCACTCTCCTTATCCTTACAGGGGCATCTTCACTGAAGGCATCTGCTGCATAATCGCAGGGCTATTGGGCACAGGCAACGGATCCACCTCGTCCAGCCCCAACATTGGCGTCCTGGGGATTACGAAGGTGCCCTGCTGAAGTAGAGCAGCACAGAGCCCCACCCCCACTCCATTTGCCCCAACCTGGTCCCCTTTGGCCTAGCCCCACCCGGTCTTTGAGAGCCCCAGGGCTGCTTCAAGCCCTCGCCCAGCTGTGCCGCACTCTTATCACAGGCCCTGCCCACCCTGCCCCGCCCAGCTCAGCTCCAGAACTCACCCAGCCCCACCTCGTCCCTTGGGTATAGCCCCGCCCCTGGGTATAGCCGCACCCCCTGGCTCCCTGGCAGGTGGGCAGCAGGCGCGTGGTGCAGTATGGTGCAGGCATCATGCTGGTCCTGGGCACCGTTGGCAAATTCACAGCCCTTTTCGCTTCGCTCCCTGACCCCATCCTGGGGGGCATGTTCTGCACCCTCTTTGGTGAGTGCTGCTCGAGGATCCCGGGTGACAACATGGTCGTGGAATGGTGGAGCCCACCCTGTCGGAGCAAGGCCTCCAGTGGTTCTCTTATGCCCCCAGGCATGATTACCGCTGTGGGGCTGTCCAACTTGCAGTTTGTGGACATGAACTCCTCTCGCAACCTCTTCGTGCTCGGATTTTCCATGTTCTTCGGGCTTACAGTGCCAAATTACCTGGATTCCAACCCTGGCGCCATCAACACAGGTGCCTCCACCTGTCTGAATTTCACTGCGGGTAGGGGAGATGTGGTGGGCCTGACTCTCAAAGGCTCCACGCAGCCAGAGCAACTCTCACTCAACTCTGAATGTTAATCAGCAGCTGAGAAGCTAATTAGCAGGTGTCCTTTACTAAGACACTTTCTATGGACAGGTATTGAGCTTCACATGTGCTCATTTAACTTTCACAACAGCTCCATGAGATAGATACTGTTATCTCCACGTCATAGATGAGGCTTAAATGATTTATCCCATGACAAGTATCAACTAGCAAAACTGGAATTTGAGTCCAGAGGTGGGAGAGACAGAGGTGCAGTTCCAGCTCCAAGCCTGCTCAAGGAAGTCAGCAGACTGCACAAGTAGAGAGAAATCCGTGAGGTCTGCTTTCCAGATGGGGCCATGACACCCATTGGCCCTTGGCCTATTCCGCAGGTGTTCCTGAAGTGGACCAGATTCTGACTGTGCTGCTGACCACAGAGATGTTCGTGGGAGGGTGCCTTGCTTTCATACTGGACAACACAGTGCCAGGTATGGGTCAGCCCTGGGAGGGAGAAAGAACTAGGCTGGGCTCATCTGCATTCCAACTGATGGCCCCTGAACCAGAGCTGTGGTCAGGTCCAGTGTGATGTAGGCAGGGAGAAGCAGCAACAGATAGGCTGGTGGAGTGCCCACTGGCTGGAGGGAGAAGCCACTGGTCAGACAGAAGCACAGACATGCCTCATAGATCTTGAAGAGGATGGGGCTAGGAGTCATTCCAGGGCCCTTGTCTTTTCCTCTTCATCTCCATTTCTTTTTTTCTTTTTTTTTTTACATCTTTATTGATTTCAGAGAGAGGAAAGGAGAGGGAGAGAGAGAGCTAGAAACATCAATGATGAGAGAGTCATTGATCGGCTGCAGCCTGCAACCCGGGCATGTGCCCTGACCAGGAATCGAACCCTGATTGCCTGGATCCTAGGTCGAGGCTTAACCGCTGAGCCACGCCCGGCCGGGCTCCATTTCTTTTTTTAAATATGTCTTTATTGATTTCAGAGAGAGGAAGGGGAGGGAGATAGAAACATCAATGAGGAGAGTCATTGATCGGTTGCCTCCTGCATGCCCCCCCACCCCACCCCCAGGGATCGAGCCCGCAACCAGGGCATGTGCCCTGATCTGGAATTGAACTGCGATCTCCTGGATCCTAAGTTGATGCTCAACTGCTGAGCCATGTTGGCCAGGCTACATCTCCATTTCTTGATAGCCGCTGGGGTGAGGGGCGCCTTTGCTTTATTAGGACAGATACAAATGCAGCATCAGTTTGTTGGCAAAACCCACTCCAAATATGTCAACAGCCTGCAACAGTGGCTAGTAGGAAGAGCCCTAACTTTTTGCTATTAGGACTTAATAAGTCTTTGCTATTAGGATTTATTGCAGAGATTGTGGAGGATACTTCATGGGGGTTCCTGAGAACCCTCCTGGACCACTTTCATGTGCCCAGTAAATATATAAAAACTAAATGTCACCAGGTGCCCTAACTAGTAACAAACATTAACATTTAACAAACATCTTCTAAGGGTCAGGCATGGAGCTAAGTGTCTCATCCTCAAAAACTATCTGGTGTGGCTGAGACTATCAAGTGACTCACCGAAGGTCACAACTTTTGCAGATTTGTAACTTTGCAAATCTAGGATTTTAACAAAGACCATCTGATGCAGTCTATAGCCTGTGTCTCAGTCATTGCACCACATGACCTCTGCTGAAGTGTTTCAGGGGAACTGAAAGATCAGGGTAAGATCCATGGAGACAGGGGTTAAAGATTATGCCAGTCCAGGGAGATTACGAATGGGAGTAACAGGATGGCCCTCTATCCCCCACCACTTGCCAACTTGAACATGGCTGCAGACTCCACTTGCTTCCCTTTCTCTAAAGACACAAGTCAGAGGTTGGCTATGCACAGCTGGTGGGTTGGAGTGTGGGCAGAAAAGGGCCAGGGCTCCTTGGCACTTTTAGGGATTTTAGATAGCATCAGATGATGAGGGAGCTCTTGGTAGCAGCCATTCTTTGGGTGTATGAGTGGTAAATGATGATGGTACCTACCTCTTATTTAGAAGCTGGACTGGGGACTGAGAACAGCCCATCCTGTGAAGCTGAGAGGAACTTGGCAGCCTCAGTGCCTAGGGAATCTGGGAAGGTGGAGGGCATCAGGTGGGCAGCTATAAACTGAGGGGCTTCTCTGTGATTTGGGTGGCTGGATTAAGCTAACCAGATGTTAACAGTCTCAGACTGCCTCGTGGAGTTCATCACATCCCACCCTTCAATCCAACTGCCCATCAGCAACGATCCTTGCAAGGGGATCATATATTATGCCACATAATCTTCAACAGTCCTTCAATATACACTAATGAGGAACCTGAAGCTCAGATTGGTGAAATCACTTGTCTAAGGCAGTACAACCTGGATTCCAACCCAGGTCTGGCTAGCTCAGAACTCAAGACCTTACCGTGGAATCACACAGCTTTCTTTCGTGGGATGGGAACACTACTGATATACCACTTTGCATTTGTTCTTTTTCTTTACCTAGCTACAACCCAGCCTTAGAGGGGCAGCCAATTTAGTTCACGAAATGCTAGAGGAGCTTACCAGCTTGGCCCTGGGTTAGACACTAAAGGGGATGTACAAAAAAAAGTGTTTGTTTTGAGGCGCTCCTAGCACAAGAGAGGAAGTAAAATTGAGTTTAAAGCAATTTAGAGCAGTAAGGTCAATAAGCCTGCGCTGGAGTCATCTGGAGGGCTTCCTAAGTGAGGTTGGATGGTGATTAGAATGGAAGGGACTTGGAGAAACAGAGAGAGCACTGCAGGTAGGGAGGGATATAACAGGTAGGTGAGGGAACTCTGGGCTACCTGTTGTGTCCCAGCAGTAATGAGGGGTAAAGGCAATCAACCAACATAGTTCTGTGCTACACCTACAGCTCTTCCCCATCCACTCTGCCCACCTGTGCTGTTTGTGCAGCCAGGCCCAGCTCAAATAGTATTTCCTCCAAGTAGTCTTCCCTGAGGACCCCAGCCCTCCCTCAGTGCCCTCTCCTCTGACTCTGGGACACATTTCATTTGCATTACTCATGGGGTTCTCAGGCTGGACTGCCAGCATACAGAAATCTCACTTTTACCAGATTTACACAGTGCCAATCTTCATCAACCAGCCTTCTTGTGAAAACCTGAGATCTCATATACCTCTCCCCAACTCTGTAGGGTGAATTCCCCTAGTTGTAAATCTCTACCACCACTACTGAAGATTCTTCTTAGCTTGACTTTCTGAGGTTGTATTATAAAAACAGGAGTTTATTTTCCAAATATGAAGTCACATTAATACTGATTATAGTGTTTCAATATACACCAACCTGCCCCCACAGCAGTCTGAGCACTTTATGGTCCACAACAGCCCAGCACACACTAGCCCCATATTCAAGATGTAGGATGACAATTACTTAACCTTTCTGCCAGCTTCTGCATCATAAAATTTTGCACAATAGTGCCTTTATACCTCCTCCTTCAGATGTACTTTGAAGGAATAAGATAATAAAATTAAAGCACTTAGCACAGAACCTGGCACACTGCAGGTAAACAATAAACACTAATTATAACCAGTATCCTTTAAGGTTCCCCAGAGCTCTGGCCAAGTCAGCAGCTGAGAAATCATGGACCCAACCCTTTTTAGAACCAGAAAATACTTCAGAATCGAGACACTCAATTCCAGAAGTCTATTTCAGAGCTAGATGGGAAGGGGAGGAACTGGTAAGTCACCTCACTGTCCTTTTCCAGGGAGTCTAGAGGAACGTGGTCTGATACAGTGGAAAGCTGGGGCCCATGCCAACAGTGAGATGTCTACCAGTCTCAAGAGCTATGACTTCCCCATTGGAATGAACATGGTAAAAAGGATTGCCTTTCTGAAACACATTCCTATCTGCCCAGTCTTCAAAGGATTTTCTTCAAGGTCAAAAGATCAGCTTCCAGTTCCAGAAGATACTTCAGAAAATAGAGAAACTGGGCCCGTGTGCACCAAGGTCTGAAAAATTACTCCCAGGAAAGGTAGGATGTGTTAGTCTATGGTTTTTGTGGGAGGGTTGAAAAAAATCATTCTTATATGTTTTAACAAAAGGAAAACCAAACTACTCAGTTTCCATTTTTGTGACCTAGTTGAGTGCCTTCAAGGGGAAGGTAAACTGGGTAAAAAGTCAATATATGAATTTTGAGTAAAATTCTTTAGCCATTTCATAGTGAGAGTGGAACTTCTCAACTAGTGTGGGCCACTAAGATGTCACAGTATGCTGAAATACTGATCCCTTCAGCTTCTGGGTATCTATCTGGGCAGAAGCTGGATCAACTAGAAGCCATGTGACATAAACTCCAGCCACCGGCAGCCAGCCTCATTTCTGCACTCCCGTATGCTGAATAAGTAACACTTTATGATATGGAAAAGGTTGAGAAATACTGACACTGCACAAGAACCAGCAAAATCCTCTCATATGCAATAATGGTCAAAAACTAAAAACAGGATGACTTTAGTTACCCTAAACTATACCATATAAGCCCTGGGGTAATAAGTTGTCCCAAGGACTTCAAAATGAAGTAGTGATACTCTGAAACTTTCCATCTGTATCTATAATGCAGATGCCTGGCTCTCTAATTAAACATCAAAGTAGTTTTAATGTGCACATTCCCTAAGAAATGTTCCAACAAAATAAGAGCTGTCTAGATGATTACTTAATAGTAACAATCCCTTAAAAAGAACTTCCTATGTGCCAGAAACTGTCTTGTACTTGCTGTATATTAACTAATTACACAATCCTGAGATAAATACTGTTATTACTACTATGATTTTTAAAGAGATGGAATCTAAGTCACAGAAAGGTTAAGTGACTTGCCCACAATTACTGGATTCATAGGAAGTCTGGCTAGTCTTTGCTCTTAATCAGTAGGTTACAATGCCTAAATTTATAACCTCCAAGCTTACTGCATTACAGTACTTTGGCAATATGTGGGAATATGTCTGAGCTGAGAGAAAAAGGATCTGTAAGCCTCATGTATTTGGCAGCCTGCAGTGCCACTTGTGATCTTGAGCTCTTAGAAAACAGAGAGGAATGGTTGCATCATGGCTCCAAAAAGAACAAGAACCAAGCAGGATCATCAGCGACAGTTTCTTAAAAAAACCACCTGTTTATTAATTTATTACAGTAGCTATTAAAAATCACTGGGGCCCGGCCGGCGTGGCTCAGCAGTTGAGCATTGAACTATGATCCAGGATATAGTGGTTCGATTCCCGGTCAGGGTACATGCCCGGGTTGCGGGCTTGATCCCCAGTAGGGGATTTGCAGGAGGCAGCCGATCAATGACTCTCTCTAATCATTGATGTTTCTATCTCTCTCTTTCCCCCTCTCCCATCCTCTCTCTGTAATCAATAAAAAATATATAAAAAACCAAAAAACAAACCAAAAAACCCCACATTGGGGCAGTTGCTCACACCCAAGGACCCCCAGGGAGAATGTGAGACAGAACTGATTACATGGCCTTCTTAATCTTGAGCCCAACAAGCTCAAGAAAAGCACAGAGGACATTATTAACAAGTGATCAGGGCCATGAGGCAGAATTGTATGTGAAACTAGAAAATTGCTAGTTGGTTGACAGCCTATCCCAAATTAAGATTAGCCACAAACATAAATAAACTTATGAGGGGAAAAGGGGAAGGTCCAGGTGAATCAAAAGAGCAAACCAGTCCAATTAGACCAGCAATGATTTGTGAAGGGAAGAAACCAATGAAGGTTATGGTAAAGTAAGATTACCACTATATTGGTCAGCCAGTGTTTTAACATGGATATCCTACAATTACTTACAGATACTTACATAACATACTTGATACAATGGGATCTAATAAAGTCTGTTCTCTTAGCACATCTTGTCAGCAGGGTTGTCCTGAGGGACTGAGCCCACAGTAAAGTGAGAATCACCACTGGAAAGTCTGCATTGAGCACCAATAAACACAACCATCAGCTCAGTTCTACTATTATTTATTTTTTTAAATATTTTTGAAAAAATATAATTTTTTTACAATATTTTCAACTTAAACACTATTCACACTGAACACGTATGGCAGCTTAACCTACCCAAATATGAAGTTTAAGAAGCCAAAACTGTTCTAGCTTTGTTAAAAGAAAAATTGTGCTGCAGACTATTGTAGTGATAGTTAACAAAGCAAGGAAAAGCACCACTCAAATCACGTTACTATTTCTTTGTTCATTTGGATTATGGGTTGGTCAAATGTTAGACTTCACAAAGGCATAGCTACGATGAGAATTGCAGAAGATGCAATTTCAAATCACATACTTCCTCAGATGTATTTCTTACATGATAACATACCATAAAAGCCAAGACTAGTTCTAATCTGATCACTACCTTATAACCTCAGTGACCAAAGACATATGTGTCTACAATGAATTATTTCAAATTAACTAATAAGCCTTTCTCAGAAGATTCTTTCTGATGGGGGCAAATGCAAATTTAACTCTGAACTGAGAAATTTGCTTAACAACTAAAATTTAATTTAAATTTACAGAAGTTTAGACATTAACAAGGGTTAGTTAAACCTAAGGGACCAGTTTAACCTCAAAAAAGATAATTCACTAAGATTTAAAGGTCATTTAATTTGGTGCTTTGTCACGACTTGACTGGTGCTTCTTTCCTCGCTGTCTTCATATCAAGCCATGGGGCCAATTCTGTTTTTCAGTAAATGTTTGACAGCTTTTTACTTAATAACAGTCTCAGCACTTTTATTAAGCATGCAAGACTAACAAAACTTTGGCAATGCATAAGTGTAACACAGTGACAAGAGAGAGCTTTTACAATTAAGTCTTCTAATACTGCCTTCACAGTGTGGAAATTGTGCTACATCCACCAAAAGAGGGCCCCGTCTACTCAAATAGTTCAGTACTTCACCCCAGGAACAAACTCCTTTGCATTTGGATTCAGATTGCTCTTGACCTGAAAAATAAGTACATAAAAAAGCAAGTTCATTAACAGATGGCTTCAGATACTTAGAAGCAATCAACCCAGATCCACATGCAAAAACATCTTCCAAAAAAATACAAGACAAAAACAAGAACTCAGATTGATAAACTTAACCCAGAAAATCTTTGGCTGGGAAGGCAGGAACCAGATATAAGCTATATATATATATATATCAAGTTTTATCAACTTTCTAAAAAGAAAGCAGGAATTAAAATTAAATTTGCTTAAGTGTAACCAGAAACCTGTTAACCTTACATAAACTAAAAAAATGTCACAGAACAAGGAATTCTGTTCCTTTAACTATACATGACTTTCTATGCAGAAATATTAAGCAAGTATTAAAATGATGATTAAAGTGACTGGGGAATTGTTTAGAGATTAATTTTACTTTAAGATCTTCATTAAAAATGTGGAGTTGTCTTTCTACAATTGCTGTATTCTAATTTCCACAGGAAGCATGGTATATAATAGGAAAAGAAAACTACACAGGGGAGTCAGAAGACCTAAGCTGGAACACCAGCTCTGCCCCTAACTAACTTCCTATCTAAGCCTGGCAAAGTAACCCTCTCTGGGACTCCATTTTTGCATGAGTGAGGGAAAGAATGGGCCAAAATCCCTAAGAGCCTTAGAGACTTGTACCACTATTATCCTATATCTCTCAATCTTTACTTTCCTAAGCAGGTACGTCAGCATATAGGGAATAGCAGGAAATTTTCTTCTACCACACCTTGGAATGCAAGTTGAAAAAGGCGAAAAGATACCAGGATGGATTCAAGGGCCTGAAATGTAGGCACACTGGAAGGCTTTTAGACGGATTTTGAGGCCCCTATGTAACTTACTTTAAGACCAAAGCATATTAAACATGTTGGAGCAATAATTTCATCTTAGTTTCATAATTTATGCACATCCATTTCCTTGCACAGGACATATTCTTCCTTCTCTCAAGGGAAATATATATAAAAGTGTGAGGTTTAAATAAAAAAGCAGTGTTCTTGAATGTATAATCTTTTGACAGCTATAAAAGAATAAAGAATTAAGTAATCTCAAATAGACTGAGTTGAACAAACCAGTTTCTAGACAATGAATTTCTACTGGTTCCAGTTTAAAGTTATATAACATACCCAGGAAAGGACTTTACTCATTAGAGCAACCAGGATTATTTGTGGAGTGACTAAGGTAGCCATAAAGCAAGCATAACCCAACAGACTATTCAAATCACACATCTGCTCAACTGGGTCATTTACTGCAACAAAGGCTATACCACAATTTAAATTTCAGTGTTCTCTAGCCCTGGCTGGGTTGCTCAATTGGTTAGAGCATCGTCTCGATACACTAAGGTTGTGGGTTTGATCCCCGGTTAGGGCACATACAAGAATCAACCAATGAATGCATAAATACGTGGAACAACTGCCTAGCTGATTTTGCTCAGTGGTTAGAGCGTCAGCCTGAGAACCGAAGGGTCTTGGGTTCGATTCCGCGAAGGGCGCATACCTTGATTGCAGGCTCCATCCCCAGCCTGGTCAGGGCATGTGCGGGAGGCAACTAATCGATGTCTCTCTCTTACATCGATGTGTGTGTGTCTGTCTCTCTCTCCCTTCCACTCTCTGAAAAGCAATGGAAAAATTTCTTCGGGTGAGGATAAAAAAAAAGTGGAACAAATCAATGTTTCCCCTCTCTCAAAAAATAAATAAAATTAAATAACAAACAAGCAAACAGACAATTGTAAAAAAAATTCTTTCAGTGTTCTCTATATAGCCCTTTAGAAGAATGGTTTCCCAATGCCTGATAGGGGTAGGCTGGCAGTATCCTCTGGGAGTGCTTTTTAAAAATAAACATGCCTAGACAATTGACTCTGCAGTTCTGAGATGTAGCTGAGGAACTTTTTGTTTTTAATGCTTACTAGGTAATTATGATGCACAGCCAGGTTAGGCAATCACTGCACAGTGAACAGAAGACAATTGCAAAAATACTTCAGAGTTTAAGGGTAAATTTCAGAGACCTTGTAGAAGCAAATAGAGACTGCCAATATGAACAGAAAGGTTAACGTTCTGACTTTAAATTATTTTATCTTAATTTTAGTGAAGGACTCATTAGGTTCTACTCTAGTGCTGATGCCTAGTTATGACAAGTCCTAAAAATACTTTTTACTATAAATATAACATCAGCAATGAGACACTGAGAATAATTAAAGATACAAATAGGTTTCTTTTC